AAGGAGTGTACCGTTCTTCGACTTAAGAGAAACTCAGATATGGGACGGAACTGATAGTGACAGAAAGGCATGGCTGGGATTCAAGACTTCCAGAACAAGGTGCTTCTTTACATTGGGGGAGAGAGATGGGAGGCATTTTCTGAAGGAGGAGCATCGGGCGCAGTGAACTAGGGCATATTAAGAGTCTGGGAAAGTAGCTACTGCAAATGCATCTGCCTTCTCATCTTCCCAATTTTGTTCACAGCATCTGCATGGCCGGAGGGTCCTTCACCCCTTTACCGGGCGGCTCTTGCCTATTGTTTGTGATGACTTTGTGGACGTGGAGTTCGGAACTGGTATGTGTTGGGCTGAGAGACAGGAGCACGTGCACCTTTCTATCCCTAATTGCCAAGCAACCACTCTGAATGTGTTGTTTTTAACCTCCTACTATGGAGGGTGCCTTGAGATCATTGAACATGAAGGTGCATTCCTGGGCAATCTTGTGTCTGTGTGTGTTAGGGGAGGGGCGGAGTGGCCCAGTAGCAGAGCATCTGCTTGGCATGCAGAAAGTCCCAGGTTCAATCCCCAGCACCTCCGGGTAAAAGGACTGGGCAGTTGGTGATGTGGAAGATCTCTGTGTGAGGCCCTGGAGAGCTGCTGCCAGTTGAGTAGACAATACTGACCTTGATGGAGCAAGGGTCCTATTCAGTATAAGGCAGCTTCATGTGTTTGTGTGTGTGTGTGTAGACAGTAGTAGATAATATTGACCTCAGTGGACCAATGGTCTGATTCCATATAAGGCAGCTTTATGGGTTCATAGGAGGTCTCGTTGTTACTTGCCTTTGTTTTGAGAGAAGCTCCACCGAGTCAGCGGTCTGCCATTCTGGCAGAGTTTTCTGATGGAAGGGTAGAAGGAGCATCCATCCAGCCTCACATCACCACTTGTGGTGCAAAAGGAGCAGTTGGGGAGTAAACTCAAAGATCAGGTTGCAGTAGAGGAGATACTTCCTGATCTGTGTGGGCCGCCACCCTCGTGAAAACCTTTGCTCTCTGCCTCCCCCTTCAGGTGCTGTGAAGATCACCCCAGCTCACGATCCAAACGACTATGAGGTCGGCCTGCGTCACGGGCTCGAATTCGTCACCATCATGGATGAGAACGGCTATCTTGTCAACGTGCCCCCTCCTTTCTTGGTACCAGTGGGAATGGGCAGGGTACAGGGCCAGGGCTCAGAGGAACCGGGGCAGTTTGGTCAGGGATCCTGGAGGGTTTGGGGGTTTTTTGGTCATCTTCTGGGCGTGGAACAGGGGCCAGTGGGTGTGGGTGTGGAGGGGGAGGTATTTGTGAATTTCCTGCATTGGACAAGATGACCCTGGAAGTCCCTTCCAACTTTGTGATTCTGTTTAGGTCTAGGCCCTATTCATGTGGGATGGTGTTAGCTTGGCTTGTCCTAATTAGGAGTGTGTGACATTGGGGGATCATGGGTGATAAGGTGTTGGGTTTAGGTGACCCATATATGCATTCCAGCCATGCAGTTATCTTAATTCTCACCTCCCCCCTCTCCTGCCCCTCCCACCAGGGCATGAAGCGGTTTGATGCCCGTCGAGCAGTGTTGGAAGCTCTGAAGGAAAAGGGGCACTTTAAGGAGGTGAAGGACAACCCCATGGTGGTACCAGTCTGCAGGTGAGGAGAGATTGTGCGGTACAGGAATAACGTAGGCTGGAATGGCCAATTTCTGCATTCTTGAATAAGAAATCTGAGGCTAAAAGTGGCTTTTGCCATACCCAGTAACCTTTTTTTAACGAATGGTTAGTCTATGGAATAAATTGGCTGCTACCTAGCAGTAATAGCATCACAATGAAGGATTATGCAATAAGTGGTGGCAGCTAAAAGCATAGACTGCTCCATAAAAATATGGAGCAAAGGTCCATCAGTGGCTCTTAGCCAGAAGGCATAGAGGGAACATTCTGTCTAATTCAAATTCAAATACCTTTTATTGGCATACAGGGAACACTCTGTCTAGGGCAGTGATGCTCTGTATTCTTGGTGCGGGGGGGGGCACTGTGGGAGGGCTTCTGGAGTTCTGGCCCCACTAGGGGACCTCCTGATGGCACCGGGGTTTTGGCCGCTATGTGACACAGAGGGTTGGACTGGATGGGCCATTGGCCAGATCCAACATGGCTTTTCTTATGTTCTTCTGTATAATCGGGCAGAGCTGGGACACTACTTCGAAAATCTGAAGAGAGACCCAAATGCTATGAAGCATTTTGTTTTTCAAATTTTGAGGGAAAAGGTGAGGAAACCATATCTGACAAATGGAGTTTTGGCCCTCAAAAGCTTGTACCCTGAATATCACAGGAATCTTTGAGGAGCTACTAGACTCGAATCTAGCTCTTCTACTGCAAACCAAAATGGCCTCTGAAACTTTTCCTCCCCCCATTAACTGCACCTTGACTAAAATGTAGTAGGGATGCTGGGGGTATATTAAATTGCTTCAGAGTCCAGATTTTAGATTTATAACATGTCCTGTGGCATGGTGGCGGTGGGGGAGATGTATGTAATTACTGTGTTAGAAAAACAGCTCATAGTCCTAAACTGTCCGAACTCTTAGTTCACATGAAATAAGCATTAATAAATCCTCACTGAAGTTATTCAGGAGGTTGGGCTTTTCTCCTATTTCTCTCCACATTTGCTCAGTGTAGAGGAGAAGATAAGTCCGCCGCTTTCTCACTGTAAGCTCCTTTGCCAAAGCTTATTAAAATATTCAGGACACAAAGCTTTAAGTCTAGCACTGCCAAGATTTGTGCCACTACAGAATGCAGATTTGGGGGCCAGAGTGGGGAGAGGAGAAACTCATGCAGCTAAAGATTCTCTCTTATGTTCTTATGTTCTTATCTGAGGGTTTTTTTTAATGTGCTGGGAGCTTTTGACACAAACAGTGAGCGAAACCAGTGGAACTGCTAACTCTCCATTAAAACACAATCTTTTTATGTGTCAGGAAAAGACTGAATTGGGTGACAGGTTTGGGGCCTAGCTGTTAACAAGGTTGTCTGTAACCAGAAACATGGAGGATTTGAAGCAGAGTGATAGTGGGATGCAGGGCTAAAAAGGGATGATAACAAAGAGTGGGTTTAGCTTCCTGAGAGAGAACCTGAAGATAAAAGAGTGTCCCATCTGAGGGAAGGGGGGAGTATATGAACAAGTGGAAGAATATTTTGGTATGTGGGAGAGAAGGAGACATCTAGGACACTTTATTTGGTGAAATGAACGATTAACAGAAAGCCAGTTGGTGAGCTGCTGGACCAGCAGTATTCATGGGCCTGTGATTATTCCATGTTTCTCTCCTTACAATCACTGTAGCCGTTCCAAAGATGTGGTGGAGCCACTTCTGAAGCCCCAGTGGTACGTGCGCTGTGACACAATGGCCCGAGGGGCTGCTGAGGCAGTGCGCCGAGGTGACCTCCGCATTGTGCCAGACTTCCACCTCAAAACCTGGTTCAACTGGATGGATAATATCAGGTGAGGTTATTGCCCAATCTCTAAGAATGATGGCTGCAGTAAGCATCCTTTTGGAAACTGGGTGAAGTAGACAGAGGGAAGATAATCAGACCCTTCATGTCTCCATTGATTTGTCTGCTCCATCTCCAGAGGGTGGAAGACCCATGAGCAATTTCCTTAGTCCGTCCTTTGCTTTCTCACAAAGTTTGGCAAAACATTCCTCCCCTTTCCTACCAGGAAACTTCCCAGCTTCTTCTCAATTATTGCTGGGGTGAATCTATTTTATGGAGTTCTGAGCCAGAATGAATCAGAGTGATATAACCTACTTTTTGGTCTGGGTGATCAAGTACTCATAGGTAGGGAAGGGCATGAACAACATTTTTTCAGTTCGGGGTTCATGGCCGAACCCATGCGAACCAGGAGGTTGTTTTGTGAACTGTATCAGTTTGTGAGTCATTTAAAGTTTAAACCCCTGCCTTCTATTCCTATAGCTTTTTGTAGAGAGCAGAAAACAGGGACGATTTAAACCACTGCTTTCTGCTCCTTGCAAAAAGCTGTGGGGAGCAGAAACCAGGGGTTGAAATGGCTCTGAACCATTTCACCCCCTGTTTTCTGCTTGCCACTGGTGTATTTGTGAAGAGCAGAAAGCAGGGGTTTGCTCTTCATGAACTGCCATAAACTGCATCAAAATTCATGACAGTTTGTGGTGGTTCTTCACTTTGTGAACATTGCTTTGCGAACCACGAACCAGCGAACTTTAGTTCATCAGCTGGTTCATGCCTATCCTCACCCATAGCAGTTCTTTCATTCTTTCTCTCCTCAGCCTCCTTCCCCTCAAGTTTTTCCCCCAAAAGAGGGATTTGTAGTGTACTTTGGGTATTTATGTGTGTGAACCTTCAGACTCTCCAGAAACTTCATGATGAGGGTAGAAAGGTGTGGTACAAATTTTACTATTTCACCACCATTTCCCCTTTAATTAATCTCTATTCATGCTTCAACTCTAGGGATTGGTGCATTTCTCGACAGCTGTGGTGGGGCCATCGTATCCCAGCATATTTTGTGACCATTAATGACTCCTCAGTCCCTCCAGGGGAGGTAAGATAAACTACCAAGCTGTTGTGGAATGGGTGATGGTGGGAGGAAACATCTGGGAGATACAAGCAGATATGCAGCTTTCTTCATGTGCTCCAAGAGCCTGTGGCTAAAGACAGGATTGAAGGAGGAGCAGGGGTTATTTCGTAGAAAAAGAGGTGAGGAGCTCATTAGCATAACTCATTAGCATAACTTATTTGCATATGCCACACCCCCTGACATCACCCGAAGTGTGTCAGAAGGCTCAGGCTCCACTGGACTGTTTTGGATTGCTAGCTATTGGGGGGGGGGGGACACATGTAGATCTGTCCTTGCAGAGGAGGGAGAGCTGGTACCTGAATAAAACTTGGTCTTAAAGGTGCCATTGGACTGTTTACTTGACTGTTTTGGGCCGGGGGGGGGGAACTCTGCAACTTACCTGGCTGCTTCTTGCTCTGACTGAGGGCTGCTGGGAGCAGGGGGTGGGGCTTGTTGCATGTGTCCCGCCCCCTGGGTTCTTTACTGCCGGAGCTCCACTCCTGTGCGCTCCTGCAGGAAATGACCCCTGAGGAGGAGAGAATGCACATGCAGCTGCAGCTGCTGCTTTTAAATTTCTAAATGACAGGCTCGGGTTGACCTACAAAAAAACCTGTGAGTGAATGGAATGTCCCAAGGGTCCCCAGTCTTTTTGAGCCTGCAGGCACCTTTGAAATTCTGATGTAGCACGGTGGGCACAGCCACAAAATGGCTGCCGCAGAAGGTGGAGCCAGCCACAAAATGGCTGCCACAGTTTATCTAAAGTCACAAGGAAGATCCTTGTGCTGTGGTGGCAGCTGCTGCCAAAGCAATGGTTTTTAAAAATCTGATCCACCAATCAGAAGCCACGTTGAGTAAAAGCCCCACATAGCCATCCCCACTTTCTAAAAATGCTTCGCCCAAGTCGCTACCAGAATCTGTTCCTGTCATTTCTGCTCATACAAGAGCGCTAGCAAAAGTGGCATTTTTGCACTGACTCTAACCCCTAGGTTAGCTCAGATATCAGAGGAATGATGCCCTTGTGTCATTGGAGTTGTGATGTCCAGGAAATGTGTTCAAATGTAACAAAGCCAATCTTCTAGCTTTCAGCCAGTTAATCCATAAAAACCTTAGTTGACAAGATGGATACTCTGACCGGACTCCACGATAGCATACAGTTATCCTTTTGCCTTCTTCTCAGGATACTGACGGCAAGTACTGGGTGAGCGGCCGAAGCGAGCAAGAAGCAAAAGAGAAAGCTGCCAACGTCTTCAATGTGACCCCGGATAAGATCTCGCTCCGGCAAGGTACGGAGGACTGGGGTATGCAGGAAGGGAATTAGCAAGGTTGTTACAGCTCTGCTTGAACACACAAAGCTTCCCGGTACCGAATCAGAACCCTGGTCCATCAAGGTCAATATTGCCTGCTCTGACTGGCAGCAGCTCTTCAGGGTCCCAGGCTGAGGGTCTTTTACGTCATCTACTACCTGATCCTTATGCCAGGAGATACCAGGGATTATTAAACCTGGGACCTTTTGCAAGCGAAGCAGATGCTCTGCCACTGATCCACAGCCCCCCCTCAGGCTCTGTTCTCCCCATTTCCTCAGGCTTCCCTCTAGTTAAGGATATAGTAGAGCTGTGCTGGCTCAGACCAGAGGCCCTTCAAGTCCAGCACAGTGGCTAACCCGCTGCCTTTAGGAAGCCCACATGTGGAATGACTGCAACAGCCGCCTCCCACCCACACTCCCCAGCGACTGGTAAAAAGAGGCATACTGCCTCTGGTACTAGAGGGAGCAGACAGCCGTCATAGTTAGTAGCAGGGCTCTTTTTGTAGAAAAAGCCCAGCAGGAACTCATTAGCATAATAGGCCACACCCAACAGCAGGAACTCATTCACATGTTAGGCCACACCCCTGACAGCACAGCTCATTAGCACATTGGGCCACACACCCCATGTTACCAGAAGTGTGGTTATCCAGCCACACCCATCTTTTGCTTCTTATTCTGTTTACCTTGTTTGTTGTCAAAACCCAGGGCTTTTTTTGTAGCAGGAACTCCTCTGCATGTTAGGCCACACACCCCTAATGTAGCCAATCCTAATGAGTTTCTGCTGTTGGGTGTGGCCTATTATGCTAATGAGTTCCTGCTGGGTGTGGCCAACTTGGGAGCCAGCCGGAACTCCGTTCCTGTGCGTTCCTGCCCAAAAATAGCCCTGGTTAGTAGCCAGTGATAGCTGTTTAGGAATTGTGTTCTTTCTCTGAATGAATGGCATCAGAATAGAACCATTTCCTTTCTGTCCTTTTAACCACTGATTCTCATGTCCTGTTTCCAGACGAGGATGTCCTGGACACCTGGTTCTCCTCTGGCCTGTTTCCTTTCTCCATCTTTGGATGGCCAAACCCTGTAAGTTAGGCTGTCGAGCGGAGGAGGGGATGGGCAGTGGGGGGGGGGGCACGTGTTTGGTGTTTGCTCGACTCCAGGTCTCTTTCAGCTTTGCTACAGTTCCCTTTTTCTTCTCTTCTAGAGTGAAGATCTTCAGGTTTTTTACCCCGGCACTCTCCTGGAGACGGGGCACGATATTCTCTTCTTCTGGGTGGCCCGCATGGTCATGTTGGGCCTCAAGCTTACTGGGAAGCTGCCGTTCAGAGAGGTGAGAGAGGGGCTCTGTTATGGCACCCAAAGCTCCCCAAGTATAGTGCCCATTGATGGGCCTCTCCATACCCCTTCCCTTATTTATCCTCTTTCTGTGGCACCTCCTTCCAGGTTTACCTTCACGCTGTTGTCCGAGATGCCCACGGCAGGAAGATGAGTAAATCACTGGGAAATGTTATAGATCCGTTGGATGTGATTACTGGCATTACACTGGAGGTAACTTCTCATTTCACACTCTCAGAAAGTTCCAGAAGGGAGGTCCGTAAGCCAGTGCCATGACAGGCGTAACTGCATCCTGGGCAAAGCTGAAGGTTGTCCCAGCCAAAATCCAATGCTGCTCTTGAGCAGGGGTCATTTCGTAGAAAAAGAGGTGCAGGAGCTCATTAGCATAACTCATTAGCATAACTTATTTGCATATGCCACACCCCCTGGCATCACCAGTAATGTGTCAGAAGGCAACACCCACCGCTCAGGCTCCACTGGACTGTTTTGGATTGCTAGCTATTGGGGGGGACGGGGGACGTGCAGATCTGTCCTCGCAGAGGAGGGAGAGCTTGTACCTGAATAAAACTTGGTCTTAAAGGTGCCACTGGACTGTTTTGGACCAGGGGGGCCGGGGGGGGGCTCTGCAATGTACCTGGCTGCTTCTTGCTCTGACTGAGGGCTGCTGGGAGCAGGGGGTGGGGCTTGTTGCATGTGCCCGCCCCCTGGGCTCTTTATTGCTGGAGCTCCGCTCCTGTGCACTCCTGCAGGAAATGACCCCTGCTCTTGAGGTTTCCCTCACAACTTTTTGACATTCTCCTCAGCACTAAAAGAGAATGCCACAGAGATTTCTGGCCATCTCACTTAGCACTGGGAAGGCTCTTGTGTGAGTGAGTGATTTTAGGCCCCAACTTTTTCTGGGGAAGATTTACCCTCTAAACTGGGGACCCTCTCTGTCATTGATGACCAAATACTGGAGGGGATGAACCTTTTTAGTTTGATTCTGTCAGGGAAGTTTGGTGGACTGGACTGCAAAGGACTCAAATCACTGTGTGTACGGGCTTTGGGAAGAATCGCATACTTAAGTGGGAACTTCTCTGGACTGCTCATGGTTTTATTTGGCCGTATGGAAGCTGAGGGTATGAGGGAGAGAATCTTCGGGGTTTTCCTGCTTATGTAGCATATCCTGGCTCTGTCCCGTGAAAGACCACCTTTTCCTCTGCCTCCACAGGGTTTGCATGCTCAATTGCTCGACAGCAATCTGGATGCCGCAGAAATAGAGCGAGCGAAACAAGGACAGGTTAGTTGCTTTATTTATTTATTTGGAACTTTTCTGGGCTTCCTCTCCAGAGACCTGCTTGAAGTAAAAACCCCATACCGAAAACAATGACGTAAGAATGATCATTTGTAAAAACAAGCCATAAAACAGCGTTCAGCAGCCTGGGATGACATTCATAACACCAGTCCTCAAGCATTCCAAAGGTGAGGGGCCACCACTGAAAAAGGCCTTCCTCTGGTCACCACCCACCTCATCTTTTGCAGGGAAGGGCACACGTTACACGGTGCTTACCTCTGCTGTGCTGGTCACAGTGGCACAGGCTCTTTTCTGGCTTCTGGCAAGAGCAAGACCAACCATGCAGAGATCTGGTTAGATTTACAAATCAAGGTGGCTTATTAAGCACAGCAGCCACATGACAGTAACAACAGTAAACAATCAAGTTACAAGAATCTTAAAGGTGTCATATCACCTCTCCCATGGGAATTAAGTATGCCGGCCAGTCGCTTCAGGAGAAGTAGAGAGCCTCTAATTTGGGAGAAACAGGTTTGATTCCCCACTCCTCCACTTGCAGGTGCTGATGTGACCTTGGCTCAGTCATAAATTCTTTCAGAGTGGTTCTCTCAAGGGCAGTTCTCAAGAGAGCTCTCTCAGCCCCACCTACCTCACAGGGTGTCTGTTCTGGGGAGGGGAAGGGAAAAGAGATTTTCTGAGACTCCTTCGGGTAGAGAAGGGCAGAGTATAAATCCAATCTCCTCCTCTTCTTCTTCCTCTTCTTCTTCTTCCTCCTCCTCCCCCCAGGATGGCAGGGAGGAAGCAAACACTCTCTGTCCATCATGCCTACATTTGCTCTAGCATCATTGGAATTGGAGAGTTTCTTGGGGGTTTTGGGCTGGTATCTTGCTCTTTGAGCTTTTCGCTATCTGGATTGCTCTGAGCTTCCCTTGGTCTGATGGTCCATCTTGTAAAGCAACAGCAACTGTTTCTATTGCTTTTTGGCGCACAGGTCAAAAGGTTCCATTACGCCACCCCCCCCTGGAAGTCTTCTCTGTGTGCGTTCTGACCACGTCTTCTCAAAGACCACCTCGTCTTCACCTCCGCGTGTAAAGCTTAAGCAAATTCTAGAACTACCTAACTACTCCCATCTTCCTCCAGACTATCTTCACACGTTGCGTCAAGCCACAGTTTCTGTCCTAACTATCACTCTGTGGAGGCTGTTCCCTAATTTTCCAGACGCTTATGCAGACAAGCCCCCAAGACTGAACTTCTGAACTATGGCCAGTGTAGCCACAGATTGCTGCCCTACTGTCACATGGACACATGGCGCTGCCTTATACTGAATCAGACCCTTGGCCCATCGAGGTCTGTATTGTCTGCTCTGACTTGCAGGGGCTCTCCAGGGTCGCAGGGAGAGGTTTTTGACACCACCTACCAGTTGACCCTTTTAATTGGAGATGCCGGGGATCACCCTGGAGAATCTTTCAGTGACTGGCTCTGTCCAGTTTAACCATTACTTAGCAAATCGTCTCAGCCGGTAGATCTCCTTTTTACAAATATACATCTTCCTTCTTTTTTTTTTTAATTTGTTTTTATTCTTTTACTTAAAAATACACTTAAATACAAAAGGAGGAAGAAAAACTCAAGCACTACATGTGTAATACAGTATATCCTGCCAAGAAGTACAAGTGATATCCATTATAAGTATTACCTTAACTGTGAACCAAAAAGAATCTGTGATCAGATTCTTGGTGACCATACATAACTATATTAAACTTCTTTAATCTTAAGGCTACTCTTCTAATTAACACCCTCAGTCAGTGCTGTGTACCGCACAGTGTGTATGAACTTACTCTACTTATTCAAAAACCGGAGGTATCCAGTGTGTTATAAGAACAACCACCTATGATAATTGTGGTTTCCTTCTTTTTAGCTATAGCCCGCGAGCTTCTTTACTTACTTACTTTCCTTTTCAGAGCTCCTGTGATCCGATAATCTTGAGCAACGACTAAGCTTTTTTAATCAGTCAGCTAAGTTCTAGCTTATTTATGGGGAGAAGATTCTTCAACCTAAATTCAAAGGGTTCCTAAATTCAGAGGTCCTCATGTTACCAACGCTGGGCTTGAGAAGAGGGTCTTAACTGGTGGACTGGAGAATATGGGACTGTTAGTATCCTTTTTTTAAAATGCATTTTTCTGTTTGTGTGCTTGCGTACCTGGAAGCAGTGTTCCCTCTAAGCTGAGTTAGTGTGAGCTAGCTCAGAGTTTTTTAGCCTTGGGCTCACACATTTTTTGTCTTTGCTCAGGAAGGAGGGCTCCAGAGCAAACCAATTCATGCAGTAGCCAAATCGCTCACTCACAACTTTAATGCCAGCAGCTCACAAAGTAGAATTTTTGCTCACAAGACTCCACAGCTTAGAGGGAACATTGCCTGGAAGTCATGGTGACTTCTGGTGACCCCTACCGGGGTTTGGACGTTTTCAGAGAGGCGGCTTGGTATTTGCCTGCCTCTGCATCTCAGCCCTGGTATTCCTTTGGAGGTCTCCCTTCCAAGGACTTGTCAGGGTCGGACCTGCTTAGCTTCCGAGATCTGACGAGATGAGGCTTGCCTGGGCTATCCAGGTCAGGGCAGTATCTTTTTAAAATGTTGATATCTGTTTGTCTTATCAGTATAGTTTTTTTATCCTGTTATTCCTCCAGGTGGCTTAGGGTACATGGTTATCTGTTCACCATTTTATCCTCTCCGTAACCCTGTGAGGGAGGGTAGGACAGAGAAAGTTTGAGTATCACAAGATCATGGAAAGTGTGGAGATCTGAACCTAGGTCTCTCCCGCTCTAGTCCAGCACTCAAGCCGCTCTACTGTCACATGGACACATGACGCTGCCTTATACTGAATCAGACCCTTGGTCCATCGAGGTCTGTATTGTCCGCTCTGACTTGCAGGTGCTCTCCAGGGTCTTAGGGAGAGGTTTCTGACACCGCCTACCACTTGACCCTTTTAACTGGAGATGCCGGGGATTAAACCTGGGACCTTCTGCATGCCCGGCAGAGGCTCTTCCACTGAGCCACTCCCCACAGCTGGCGCTGTCCCCAATTTTAGTTAAATGCTCTGTAGACTTTAGTACAGGCTTGACTACACCCTGGTCACTTTGTGTCATACGGTGCTTGCGTGGCTGTGTGCCCACTTAATTGTGCTGTCGTGCCCGTTTCCCCAGATTTCTCGTAGCTCTGGTATATTCTCTCTCTCTCTCTCTCTCTCTCTCTCTCTCTCTCTCTCTCTCCATACACGCAGTATTTCTTCAGAAAAATGAAAGTTGTATACCCAGCTTTACAAACTAATCTGCAGTACTGTAAACAGATCATATAGACCTGATTAACTTCAGTTCACCGTCCTAGTCAGACTAATCTTGCCAAGGTTGTGGCATTTAAAACAAATTCTTCAGTATCTTTGGGAAGTAAATCTACAGAATTCATCAAGAAGCATTCTGAAGGAGAGAAAGAACTCTTTACCTGTTCTTTGAGTAAAAGCTCTAGAAATCATTTCCCAGTATTCTGCATCTCTAACGCATATGTATAAAGCTCGCTTCAGCAGCTCCACAAGTCCAACGGTCACCTCATAACCCCTTGATTAATTTTAGCTGATTTATGAGGGGTAGCTAACATATTCTTTCTCTTTTCTTTGTCTCAGTTTAAAATTGGAGGTACGCGCTTACACTTTTAACAAATTACGCTTAGGCGTCTAAGAGCAGGAATTATCGGGCCTCAGAGGACCTCATCCCTTATATGCATGAATCACTGCTCTGAGTATGCCTCATGTTTTGTATATAATTAGAGACCTAACAGGCACACTCCTCCGAGGCGGGAAATATTTTAGCATACTTTGGTACCTGCAGTAGAGAGACAGCAGAACAAGCCGTCACAGTAGCGATTCAACTGGGGATCTCCCAGAATTACAACTGATCTCCATAATATAGAGATCAGGTGCCCTGGAGAAAATGGTTCCTTTGGAAGGTGAACTGTATAACACTATACCCTGCTGTGGTCCCGCCCTTCCCCAAACCCTGACCTCTTCAGCCTGCACACCCAAATCCTCAGGAATTTCCCAACCCGGAGTTGGCAACCCTATAATAGTGAATCATGCAGAGATACAGTGGGCAGCATCCTTTGTGGCTAGGCACTTTTGGCTTCCCAGCACACTTCTTGTTCTCTCCCAGTACACCAGTGTACCCCATCACAGGCCTTTTCCTCCAGTTACTTGGTTTATGTGGCTACAAGCATGGACAGCTTCAAGAGGGAATTAGATAAGCATATGGAGCAGAGGTCCATTGGTGGCTATTAGCCACAAGGTGTAGATAGGAACGCTCAGGCTGGGGCAAGTGATGCACTGTA